TATTTCGTTCTGTATGTCATGATGAACATACTTAGCATTAGATGGATTAATTGTCAGCTTTTTTTGGACATTGGGATCAAATTTTCCAATCACATCAAGCATCTCACGAAAATTACCTTTGTTAGCTGAATCCTGTTTCTCACTGTGACTGCGCTGTGCGATTCCCTGACAAGCTGTGTAGCGCAAACTTTCTACAACACCCATCATGTACCTCCGGTTCTCCTGAACCAATGCAGAATGTCCTTTGTCGAGCATGTTGGGGAGTTTTGATCCACTCGTTTGTTTAAACTTGAATTCACTCCACGCTTCCATTGCAAATTTGTGTCCGGCGCTTTCATGATGGCTCTTCAATGACGCTGCTGCTTTCCGCCAGTTGTTAAAGCCGAGCGCGGTAAATGCTGGCTCAAGATGGAACCTGTGTCCTCCTTTTCGAAAATGCCGACAAGCAAAACAAAACACGGCATCTTTACTCACGCTGTATTCTAACCACAAATATTGATCGAGCCAGCCTTTACTAAAACTTCTCTGTTGCACTCCAAACAAGCGTGATGGGTATTTTTGCAGAAGTGGTCGTCTTGGTCCATCTTGAGGACTTCTGCTTAGATCTTCTAGCTGTCCAGTGCTAACACTGTTAGCATTCTCAGCAGCAGTGGAAGGATAACTGCACAGTTTATCTTCTTCATCCAGATTAATATTTCTTTGTTGGTCGGACTCTGCTTCCAAAAATGCATCCTTCTCAAATTCCATCCGTGGAACTTTTGGTTGCAAAAAACGATCCATATTTGCGCAGCGTGTTCCTCTCAATTGCTTCCCGGAAGTAATAATACGCAAAGTTCAAATCAGGTTGAATTATTTTTTTTATTTTTATTTTTTACTGAAATTAGAATGGTTGATTCTTTTTATATATATTTGTCTTTAGAAGAAAATGCCACAACTACATATTTAAAATATTAAATTAGATGAAGAAAAAAATCTAAATATTTCCTGGGGGTGCTATGGAGGTGCTATAACTTTTCTAGGGGTAGCTATAGCGCCCCCTAGCGTCCCCCTGGCGCCGCCACTGATGAGAGGCTATTTATAAGACTGAGCTTATTGCAGCTCCTCAGACTGACAAAGTCTTTAGGATAAAAGATAAACATTTCAACAAGTTTTTTTATTTGTTTAAATTTAATCTGTCCGGAGGACCTGACTTAACTTTGTTTAATTCCTTGACAAGGATCATTCATAACTCGCAACACTTTTCAGCGTCAAGGGATGTTAGGCCCTGTACTTACATCTGTATACAAGAAAATAACGGATCAGAAGTTAAACACTTGTTTTTATTTTACATATTGAGGATAAAAACTTTGTAACACGTCGGCTTAAATACATAATATTCAGTTTACTGCCCACAGAGCTGGTTGTGTATATTTGGAGCTAAAGTACGTGTTCATGTGATTTTGAAGTTATTTGCTGTCATTTGTTCTCCTGAGGCGGCCGTTTGAGACACGTTTACAACCGGTGCGAGTCTGATAAACTCTTATCACACCCACAGACGTGTATCATCAACTCTCGCAATCCTTCAGAGGTAGATTTCAAATGAACACGACCTCGACTTTCTCTTTTGTGACTAAATGTCACGCAGAAAATTTAATCTGCAATGTGGCTCCGAGATTGAGGATGACTATTTTTCATGCTTTGAGTGGAAAAACTTTGCCACATTAGAGGATTTATTCTGAGAGGACGTGCTTCACATAAACAGAAGTAATGGAGCGGTCTAATTAATGCAGCCACGTCGAGCCAAAGGAAGGCAAGTGTTTCAGCAGCCCTTACTGGTTTACATATGAGAGTGTGTGTGGCTTGTTTGCCACAATAATTGCAGCCAGTGCACAAAATAATTGGAGTTCAAAATAAAAATAAAAATATTACTTTCAATTTCATGTGCAGACAAAAGTGACAATGTGGAAAATTTCTATTTACTCAAGGTGTCAGGCAGCGACCAAACTCAATTACAGGCTCTTTGCGCCGGCAGAAAAAACCCAAAAAAACAGCATTTGAATAACGTGATGGAAAAGAAACGGTGGCATTTTGAAGGAGCAACTTTTACTTGTCGTCCTCTTTTAAAGTAATAATTATTTGATTGAAAATAGCAGACCATTATCAGACAGGTGGTACACAAATGTCTGTTTAAATAAATGTGCCAGTTCTAAAGGGTTAAACTGAAAAATTTCAAACAATTCAGAGTCCAGCTTTCTGCTACAAGACCAATTATTCTGTCAGTTTTACCAAGGATGGATGTTCGAGCAGGTTCACCCCAAGGTCAGGCTGTGCAATGCTGAAAAAAACGGTGATAAATAAATAAATAAATATCATCACAGACTCTACAGGTCCCAGAAGGCAGGTCACGGGTCAAAGATTGTGAAACCACGAATGAAGAAAATAATAAAATAATAAATAAACGTATAGTTTGGAAAAGTCACAAGGATTTTTCTCTCCATCTTTCTAATTAAAACAAAGCTACTCATGTTAGAGATTTGAAAAGGCATTTAAGAAACTACATGGCTTCTGGCACAATGATCCTCAGACCACCAGCCGGGTCTCAGGGGCAGCAGCTTGAACAGGGAGGCCCAGACGTCTCCTCCCACAGCCTCCTCTTCCAGCAATACTCCAAGGTGTTCCAGGGTCACCTGACAGATGTAGTGGGGTCTCCTCCCAGTCAGATGTGCCCGGAACACCTTCTTTAGGAGGCGCCCATCCTTACCAGTTGCCCGGACCACCTCAACTGGCTCTCCTGATGTGCAGGAACAGTTGTTCTACTCTGATTCTCTCCTGGATAACTGAACTTTTCATCGCCCTCACAGAGAGAACAGAGTCTGCATGCATCAGTAAAGGTGTGGCCATGTACTGGTCTTACTTGTTTTGTTCTGATGATTCATCGTTGTAATCGGTGCCCTCTGCAGTCACCCTGCGTCTGCACTCCCAGTGTCTCTCACGGGTCTGTATCCAGATCTGTATCACCTGTGTACCCCATCCAGGTGTTTGGTCTAGTCCAGGGGTCTGCAAGCTGCGGCTCTGGAGCCACATGCGGCCCTTTGGCCCCTCTTTAGTGTCTCTTTCAAGCTTTGACCAAAACTGGCATAAAACTAAATTTTATTGGTTCTACAAACAACAAAAAAGGATGAGTTCAAACAGATTTGCTGTCATTTCTTTTGCAAATATGTGAACACTGGAGCGAGTACAAGGAGCAAAACTTTAACTTGATATTTCTTTATATGAAGAACTGTCTGCATAGTTTATAGATTTATTAATGAATAAACATAAAAATTGAAAAATGTCCCCCCTTTAAAAGAATCTGGTATTTCTCTTTAATAAATGTTAAAAATCATTATATATTTTTTGCTTTATAATGTCACCCTTACTGGCCACTAAAGTCCCCTCCAGCAAACCTAAAGTGGCCCATGGGCCACCAGTTGATAACCAAAGGCGTAGCAGGTTGTTGCGGCTCTGGACACGTTTAATATAGTGAACGAAGGTGAAAAATTGCTCTTTTGATCATAAAGGTTGCAGACCCCTGGTCTAGTCTGTGTGTTAGTTATCGTCAGTCCATCGTCTGGTAACCCTCCTGGTTTGTCTCCTGTGATCCCTGTATATTCCATGACCCTGTTTTCTAAGTTTATGCTGCCACGTCAGCTGTTCTTTTCATTATTAAAAGTATTTATGAGTTTACGTTCTGGCCTCTGAGTCCTGCCTGCACCACTGGGTTCTGTCCTGCTCAGCCTGAAACCCTGACAGTCGTGTGTGGTATCTGCAGTGTGCGTGCAAGCAAAAGCGGTACACAACTCCAAATAAGGAACTGGTCCAAAGCCGTAATTGACAACAATGGTCAGAACTGGTTTCATTTGATTTTATCTGGTCTGAAGCAAAAACAAGATTTCAGTCTCAGAGCAGAAAAACCAAGAGATAAGGGCTTATTAACAGTCCTTAACAGGTCTCTCGACTCAAATGTGACTAACCTGTATACATGAAATGAGCCAACTAGTCTTAAAGTCTTGTCTTTAGTCTTAAAACTGGACAACGTGTCAGCCTCACGGACAGAAACTGGAAGTTGGTTCCACAAGAGAGGAGCCTGAGAACTGAAAGATCTTCCTCCCATTCTGCTTTTGGAAACTCTAGGAACTGCGAGTAAGCCTGCAGTCTGAGAGCGAAGTGCTCTGTTGGGAACAAATTGCTTGCTAAAAGAGCAAATGGTTAGCTAAAAGCCAATGCTCGCTCAAGATGAGAGTTCTGTGACGGAGTCAAACTCAAAGCAGTCTGCTCCTCAGATACATAATGTTAAATTATTATTTATATATGAATATTTCTGTTCAGTGCCCTGAGACGACTTCTGTTGTTACTTGGCGCTATATAAATAAACTGAATCGAATTGTTTTGTTATATTTACTTTGAACCTTTTTGTATTTTATTCATTCAGTTTATGTAAATATATTTATTTTACTGTCCCCTTATTTCATTAGTTATTCATGCATATTATATGTATGTCTGTGCATTCATGTGCATGTATAGGTATTTCATGTATAAGTGTGAATCAATCAACCTTTATTTAGACAGGTAAATCCCATTGAGCCTCGAGGACTCATTTACAAGAGAGACCTGATTTCAACAAAGAAAGATGACAACAATGGACAACAGCAACAACAAACTCAAAATGAATATTTAAGCATGTTTATATAATTTTTAAAACTTCTTGAATTCACTTTAAATAGCCTCAGCACTCTGAGCTTCACTTGTGTTTGTAAAATGCGGTATAAATAAAGTTTAATTGAATTGAACTTCAAATCGTAATTTAAATGACTCTTCCGTTTTGTTTGCAGTTACTGGGCCTCTAAAGTTAAAGAGCTGTTAACTTTAAACGTATGACGTCAACTGTGAAATATCACTTTATTATTTTTAATAAATAAAGATAACGTCGAACTCAGCGGCATCGCGTCCCTTTTCTCTTGTTGGTGTTGATGAATCAAGCTGGCGGTCACGTGACTCGGCCGGGCAGGGGGGCGGGACTTTCCTCCCGTTCGACCAATAGGAGCGCAGCATTGGACCAGGTCCTCGCAGATTCATGATGGAGAGGGAAAAAAAAAAAAAAAAAAAAAAAAGCTCGAGGGACTGAAGAAGACGACTAACGGTTCGGTGTCACGTTCATGTATGGAGATGACCCACGCGCTTACCCGCACCGTGTCTTCTCCCGTGATGAAAACGTGAACCAAAGGTGCTAGCAGACGGGCACGGAGGACGAGCTGCGGGTCTGAAGGGAAACAAGCGGTCCACCATTGTGTCTGCGTAGAAATAAAGAAGAATGGCCTGGATGTGGAAGGTAAAGGAGGGTGTTCTTCCTCTCAGATACGTTTTTAAGGGAATGAGGGGACAAATGGAGCCGGATATTAGCCGATATGTGGTTAAATATTAGCCGTGGAGGGGAGGGAAAGAACCCTCCTCTGGTTGGTGTCAGCTGTGGGGGTTTGTGGGTCCCCCCCTTCCATAACTCCCATGTCTTGTTTTGGTGCTTTATTGTCAGCTTTCTCAGATTATTTGTCCCTCCTGCACCTCCTGGTAGGAGCAGGCCAGCTGTTCTCCACCTTTAGCCTTCAGGGATGTAAACAAACCTGTCTCACCTTCAACCAGAGAGACAACCTGCAGAAAGTTCAAAGGTCAAATGTGTCATCAAACACCCTGATGCACGCTCAATAATCCAGGTAGAAAAATCTAAAAAAAAGTTAAATCTGGTCCTCTGGACATTCAAAAAAACAAAACAAACGTAATTGTAATCTGGGATTTAAACATTTAGAAATAATTCTTTGGCCTTTTCTTCTACTCTGTACGCTGTATTTTAGTTTGAGGACAAAATATACAAATTTTGGTTCAAAAGGAGTTCTAAAATCTTGCTAACATTTATTTACTTTTTTTTTTAAGAAGAAAGAAAAGTATTGAGTTAATTTGATTTGTTGGGTCGTTTTTTTTGTGTGCGTTTTTTTTGTGTCGTCTTGCGCTTGGAAAGTACATTTTCAGTAACAAATGTGTAAATGAGTCACTTGTTTAAAAATAGTTGCCAAAAAGGTGTCGTGTGGCTCAGCCGCAGATTCTTGAAAATTATGTTAGCTAGCAGCTCAAAGATGTATTCAGATTTTATTTTGTTAAACCTGTTATTTAAAAAAAATATTACCCACCAAAATTGTAAAAAGGTCCATCAGCCTCTCAAACCTGTGGAACACATTAGACCAGTTTTAAATTGTAGTCGGGGCCGCACAAAATCCTTTAAAGGGCCACAAATTGCCCAGAGGCCTCACTTTGGACACCCCTACTTTAGGGGATTTTAAAGCCTTATAATAGGTATTAAACACAAATGTAAAATAGACACATTTAAGAAACTTTTGGAAGAAAAATATGTTTTTTTTTTTCTAAATAATTAAAGGTCCAGTGTTTTTATAAGAACTTCATGATTCTTAATTTTCATTTCATGTCAGTAGACCAACATTGTCTTGTGCTGTTTTGGTCAATCTGTGCAAATATTGTTATGTAAGATTGCGCAATATCACTGTCAGAGTATGAGTTGTGAATGATGCTCAGTTACTACCACATCAAATTTTAGCTTCAAATCTGTAAAACTCAAACTGAGTTAAAACAAAAGTCCAAAATTCAAATATTTCTATCGCAAGAAAACAGAAAAATCGGATTAAGTTAGATAAAAGTTGTTTATTGACGTTTTTTTTTTTCATTTTTTGTTGGTGTTAAACTGCGAGAATAGTTCATAGACGTTAAAATTATGTTCTGAATTTGTTTAAGTGCGTGCCTTTTTATGAAACAACGTACAAACTCTTAGAAACAAATAAAATATTTAACTTGGAATTTTCAAACTTAAAAAAAAAAAAAAAAAGTCTCAGTTTGCACCATACCATTTCATTTCCTGAAATAATTGTCAACATTTTTGCATTAAGTTTATTATTTAGGGCAAAGTTCAGTGATATTTGTTTTATTTAGCATTTTTTACAAACTTCAATAATAGTCAAACGTAATGGTTCGAGTTTCTAACGGTTCTTCTGATTTAATTTTCTGTTTCTTGAAGTGTTTGAAAAACATACTTAAAAGTTATTCGCTCATATCTTTTTGTCTAAGTCTGAAATTAATAATTTAAGGGAGAAAAGCTGCAAACTTGACAAGTGAGGAAACTAAATTTTAAGTTTGGCTTAAAAACATACATACAGCTTTCTTACCAGGTTAATTATCCAACTCGTTCATATTTGATTGGTTAAGAAAAACAGCACTTTTCCATGACTTCTCTCATGATTTTTGACTCGTAAACTCCTAAAAAAATGTTAATAAAAATAATAAACTAATGAGCATGGACTTTTTTGGATTTTTAATAAAATAATGTTTTCCCTGAGCTGAGCACTGTTCAGTAACTTGACACTTTCATCTTGTTTAAAATCATGAAATCCTTTCAGAAATGAATAAAACAAGTTGTAGCAGAGTTTAACTCAGACGCTCATTAAATGTCAGGATTGAGTTATCGCCCCTTTGATCTTGATGTGATTCTGAATGATCTGAGCAGTTTTTGTACTCACCGTTTTCTGCCTTCCCTGGAAATTCACTTCTTTTTCTACATCGCTTTTTATTGTGTGAATGTTTTTGAAGCTTTCACTCTATCGTGATCCTTTTTTTTCTGTATGTTTTTTGGCACGATTCGTTTCCCTTTGTTTTCAAGCTATTTCATCCATCCGTCCATTATCTTTACCCGCTTCTTCCTTTTCGGGTCGCTGGTGCCCATATCCAGCCATCAGTGTGCGAGACGCAGGGGACACCCTGGACAGGTCTCCAGTCCATCACAGGGACTAGAGACAAACGAGACAAACAACCATTCTCACTCACACCCAGGGACAATTTAGAGTTACCAATTAGTCTAACATGCATGTTTTTGTTCTGTGGGGGGAAACTGGAGCACCCTGAGAAAACCCACACATGCACAGAGAGAACATGCAAACTCCACCCAGAAAGGCCCCCGGACCGGGATTTGAACCAGCGTAACCTGCTCGCTGAGAGGCAGCAGCTCTACCAGTTGCGCCACCGTGCTGCCCCAAGCGATTTCAGCAAATCATAAATCAAAACTTTCAGCTTTCAGGACAATCCTGCTATGACTTTCGGTATTGGTGCAACTTTAGCTTTTAGAAATATTTAGCCTTTTCTGCCATTTTTTACTCTTAGAAAATGAATTGAGCTCATTTTACATCCTTCAAATCTTTAGATTTGTTTACAACTTTTTACTGCTCCTTTCACATTTTGTTTCGGTTCAGCTTCTTTCAACTTGCTTGTGCAAATGTAAACATTTTTTCCAGCTCCTTTCGGCTAATTTCAGCTGTTTTTCCAGCAGTTTTGTGCTCCTTTCAGATTCTTTCTGTTAACTACAACATTTTTTCTGCTTCTTCTAACTTCTTACTTGCTTATTTCAGCTTGTTTTGCTCATTTCAGCTTAATTATTCAGCAATTCCTGCTATTTCAGCTACTGTTTAGCTGTTTTATGTTAATTTGAACCTTTTCAGCAAATTCCACCTATTTATTATCCCATTTCAGCTCTTTCCACTTCTTTCTGATAGTTTAAGCTTCTTTCTGCCTTTCAGCTACTTTTCAGCCATTTATTTTTTTTAGCTACTTTCCTCATTTTTGTGCTCATTTCTGCTTATTTAAACCTATTTCAGCAAATATATGTTCTCCTTTTTTTTGTAATTTAGACTTGTTCTTCCATTTCAGTTTCATTTCAGCTTCATTTCAGCAATGATTCAGGCATGTTTTTTAGTTAATTTCAGCTGATTTTCTGCAATTTCTTCTGCAATAAGCATTCACACTGCATTTTCGCAGGCAATGCAATTTCTCTAGTTTTATTTATTTTCTGTGCTGTCATCTAATAGCCATGTCTTCCTCTTCTTCGTCTTCATCAGGAAGTGATCCTTCAGCGTTTCCCTTCAAAAGCTTCATTGTCCCGTTGGTTCAGTCTTCTTCTTATCTGAGACAGCAGTTAATTTCACACTAGATTTGTCTCTTTACGTCTTATTGTTTTACAGAAAAAGGAACAAAAATATATAATTGCACAATTAAAGCTGCTACAGACTAAAAAAAAGTAATCTGAAAGTGGAGAGCAGTAAACAGGCCGTCGCTTTAATGAAACAGTACCAGTGTTTTTAATTGCTTTTTATTAGAACCAACAATCAGGTCATCTGGATGTTTTTTTTTCTGAGATGTTTCGTCTGTCATCCAGCGGACTTCTTCAACCTGAGGAGTCACCAAAACAAAACGGATTCTCCACCAACAGCATAATCCATAGTGGAATCAAACAGTTTGCTGGTGCTAAGATGCCTCCGGGGCCCGCCCTCTCCCTCATCAACTCCTCTAGTCGTGTGAAAGTGGTTCAAAACACCAAAGTTCATGCTCAATAATTTTGTTTTGGTGGCTCCTCAGATTGAAGAAGTTCATTGGATGACGGACGAAACGGCTAAAAAAAAAAAAGAAACCATCCAGATGACGTGACTGAACATTACTGGATTTTAAACCTGGATTATTGAAATTTTATTTTTATTAAACAAAATGTTTTCAGTCAACTTTTCAATCAAGTTTTTTTTAAACAGATTTCCAAGAAAGGCGGGTGGAATTGTTGCATTATAACCTCGCCATATAACCAGGCTCTGTAAAAGCCTGTTACTGGTTTATTCATTGACATCAGGCGTTGAAGCAGCTAAACATCTGGACAGTGGGCTGTGAAGCCCGACCGCAGCTGTTGGTGACTCCGTAAGCAAGTTGATATAATAAGTGTTTTGTTTTCAGCATTTTGAGGACGTGGCTGCAGCTTCTCATCTACCGATTTGTTTAATTAATTAATCTTATTTTTATTTTTGTCCATACTTTCTATAATTGGCTTTGCTACCTGCATTTGGATATTTATAGAGTTAGTTTAATAAGGCTGGTTGTGTAAACTCTTCAGGCCTGCGTATGTGGACAATTCTTCAAGAATGTTGGTAGATTGTACTTGAACTTCTTCAGCGGTAAATGTACATTTTTCTACATTATTTAAAGTTTACAAAGTCTTGACTCGGTCAGTTTGTAGTGATTGCATAAACAAAGACTCCGCAGTACGTAATGAACGACTCGCCACGTTTATGATGGTAACTCCACATGAAAATCCAGGCGTGATAATTGGAGTAAATGCACATTTTAATTCCCGAGCCGCCTCAGTTTTATTTGTGACTACGACCTGCAGAGAGAGCTGGAATGTGCACGGTTTCCTCGTTGTTAGCTTGTGTTTAACTGGAGTGAGTTCATCCATGAAGAGTT